TGATAAGGACGTCGATGCTTTATTTAGATGCCCCCATTGTTCGAAGCGGTATACGCATAGAAGCAACTTATATAGACACATCAAATTTCATACGGGTGAACGACCCTACAAATGCCCCGACTGCTCAAAGTCATTTATACAAAAAAGCGAACTCGAAGTACACATCCGTATTCACACGGGTGAGCGACCGTTTGAGTGCACGCATTGCTCGAAGACGTTTAAGCAGAACTCCCATCTTCAAATACACATCCGTACCCACACAAGAGATCGGCCCCATCAATGCTCCGAATGTCCGAAGTCATTTCAAGAACTGTCTCATCTAAAAGTACACAGCCGCACACACACCGGAGAGCGACCGTATACATGTTCTCATTGCCCAAAGTCGTTTTCCCATGCCGGAACACTTCGGGATCATATCTTGTTGCATACCGGTGAACGACCATACCAATGTTCAGACTGCTCTATGTCGTTTGCACAAAAATCAGAGCTGCAAGTGCACATACGCTCTCATACGGGAGAGCGCCCGTTTAAGTGCTCTCAATGCCCCAAGTCCTTTGCCCGAGCCGCTTGCCTACGGGCTCATATCCGTTTGCATACTGGCGAACGACCCTACCAGTGTTCCCACTGCCCGAAGTCCTTTATACAAAAATCCAATCTTGATACACACTTACGTACTCACACGGTGGACCGATCCCACCACCAATGCTCCTACTGCTCAAAGTCCTTTATGAAAAGTTCCGATCTCCAAGCACATATCTGTATTCACACTGGAGAGCATCCTTACAAGTGCTCGTTCTGCTCAAAGGCCTTTATTCACAACTCATCTCTGAAAAGACATACCCTTTCTCACACGGGACAAGAGCTTTCAAGTCTACCCGATGCATAAATTCCCTTCTAAATTCCGTTGATCGTCGAACTCACATCCATAGGCTCCATGAAGAATGGCACGAGTTCTTCCACTGCAGATCGAGATCTTGAAACTTTCCGGAATAACTAAAAACGAGCGAAATAGTCTCAGAAAAAGAACACCTTTAGGCGTACATTCGAATACGAGTGAATGGTTGCAACTATTAAAGGGATCCACACAAATCACAGACGCAACGACCCAAATATTTAAGTTTTCCAGGTGCTGCTTAATCGTTCGCCCACTCAAAAAAGCTAGTACATTTGTATATTGTGTACAGTTTTATTGAGTACTAGGGGGCAAGCACAGCACCCTCGCTTTGCTCGTGCGCCAATCCCCGTCAAAAATTGTATATAATAGAGAGATATGTATATTTAATAAAAATATGCCACATTTTGCAATTTAACAATGTATTCTTGAACTGTATTGCTGAAAAGTTATATGAAAAGTTCAGGTTAGTCTAAAGAATATTAAAATCTCTTTCAGGAACATCCATACTATATTTTTACAGTACTAACACACCCTGTTACCATGTGCTGCGCGCCTTACAGCACATTATGTTATTAGCTCTAAACACTAAACAACTCGGAAGTAATAATATGTGGCTCTTGATTAAATAAATAATATTTCATTTGATTCACCAGTAGATGTATATTATTGTATTCCGATTGTGAAGATTCATTCAATTACAGGGCCATGGAGGAGATATGCAGAGTTTGCAATACAAAGTCCGGAGCTTTCACAAACATTTTTAATGATAGACCCACATTGGAAACTTGCATTGCTGACATGATAGAGCAGTGTACCGGGTACGAGGTTAGGCAAGGCGATTCACTACCAGAAAATATATGTCCGCCCTGCCTCGAGGATGCAGTGAGTGCATTCAATCTTAAGAGCACCTGTGAGCAGAGCCATAAACTCCAGTTCCAAGCGATGGGCGTGAGGACAGAAAAGTATAATCTGACTGACAAGGATTGGTCAGGTAGACGAAGTGACAAATCAAACAATATGGAAACTGATGCAGAATGTTCACAAGATACTGGAGCTAAGACGAATTAAATCGAACGACCCTACAAATGCTTCCACTGTTCTCAATCCTTTCAACATAAGTCCCATCTTAGTGAACACATCCGCACTCACACTGGTGAGCTACCGTATAGATGTTCTTACTGCTCAAAGTCCTTTACAATAAAATCCAAACTTGAAAGACACACCCGAACGCACACGGGCGAACGACCCTACCAATGCTCTCACTGCGCGAAGGCTTTTTCGCACGATGGAACTCTCCGGATACACATCCGTACACATACGGGTGAACGACCATACCTATGTCCCCACTGCCCGATGTCCTTCACCCAAAATTCGGAACTCAAAGTACACATCCGCACTCACACAGGGGAGCGACCTTATAATTGTTCCCAGTGCTCCATGTCATTCAAGCAACTCGCCCATCTTCAAATACACACACGGTCCCACACAGGTGAACGACCTTACCAATGCTCACACTGCTCAAAGGCATTTAAACAAAATATCGAACTCAAAGTACACATCCGCACTCACACGGGGGAGCGACCATATACCTGTACACACTGTTCGAAATCATTCGCCCATAACGTATCTCTAAAACGACACATACGCGCTCACACGCAGAAAAATTGTTAAAGTTTAAAAAGTTTGCTTTAAGATTAATTTTACAGAATATTAAACGTATCAAACGTCAATTGACAAGCGTTTCCAGACTCGTTGGACCGTTCCGAGGGTCTTCAGGAATAGTTTATCATACGCATTAACGAAAGTTCAGTCATGTGCTGGCGATATATATATATATATATATATATATATATATATAAATATATGTAAGCATTAAGCCACTAATTGAGCTTAGGCCTGGCCTGATATGGATTGGCATTCAGCACCATAGCCGGACTTCTTTCCCAAAAAAGCAGATAGCCTCTACGCCAGCATGCGCGAGTGCTGCTACAGTTCTGTAAAATTATGCAAAAGATATTCGCTGCAACTCTTGCACTGCCAGATATCTGGAGGCCTCATTGAATGGAATATAGAATAACATGAATTGACAAACGATAATAGATACGTAAGACTTTATCCATTTACATCCAAGTTGGTCAGCGCATAACCCGGTATGTAAGTTACTGATAAATATGTGCACATACCATTGCCATGTCCTATTGAGATACGTTGCGTGTTAAAAGCAGAACCTAAATGAAAATAAAGAAAAGAGTCAATCGTATAAATTGTATAAATACCAGCTTGAGAATGTATTTATTTTCAGAAAACAGTATTCCATGCCCGCACCTGTTGCATAGGTACTAAACCCAGGCGTTGCTCTTGTGTATGATCCCAAATAATTCCTCCCATGGGTCCTTCGAAGCATTGCAGATTTGAAATTTAGTTTGTGTTTTATCTTGTTATGTCCTCTTGCAGTATCATATAACACAGAATTTAAATCAATATAATTTCTGCAAAACGTTGCAGTTAACATAAAATATTTCGATAACACGTCGATACCTCTCGCGCCTAACAGCACTTTTGTGGCTTTTCGCATAACATAAATTTGTCGTGCTACAATTCGCGTCTAACAGCACTAATTACTATGTTTTGTGGTCAAAACAACATATTAGTGCCAAGGAAACATCCAAACTACATTTTTGCAATTAATAAAAGCAGAGTTTGCATGGCAAACTCCGGACCATTCACAAATATTTTTGATGAAAGACCAACATTGGATACTTGTATTGCTGACATGATAGCACATATGTCAGCCCTGCATTGAGGATGCAATGAGTGCATTCAATCTAAAGACCATCTGAGAGCAGAGCCATAAACTTTATTTAACACTGATGGAAAAGGATAGAGAAGAAAACATCTGTGATAAAAGTGAGCAAACGAACCAGTTCGAAACCGATGAAGAAAATAAGACGGATATTATGGACAGACCCTACAAATGTTCTAACTGTATAATAGTGTGGTGCTCCTGCTGCTGATCTTGCACTCGTAGATATTTGCTCGCCTTCTTGATGCGCTTTAGAATGGAATTCATGGTTGGCAATACGATAAAAGATACGTGGTTATCTATCCACTTGCAACCCAATTTTATAAACAATAGCAGTTGTGGTTCTTCTCTTTCTCTTTATGTTTTTTTTTCGTCTATCATGACAAATGCTAGAAAAATGAGTACTGGGTATAAAAGAAGACCTCGTTTATTATTTACACAGTTAGCATTAAGAAACAAAAGATATAGGTCTCAATTTTTTTCCCCCCCACGAAAAGAACGACCGGACCTTTTCAAACGTTTCTGGCATTTTCTTAGCCAGTGACCAATGACCAAAGGCAGTTTCGAGCTCTGTTTCTGGTGTCCAAATGAGTTACACACCAGTTACCATAAGAGCAACAAAAATAATGCTGGAAATGAATGCCACATCGAAACATTTTGACATACCATTACTTTCCATGTATGACTACCGGTATCCTAATAGAATGTATTGATTCCAAGTGTACTTAAATTCTCCAGTTACTAACAAAAACTGACCAGTTTTTTTCCGCGCTCTTACAGCAAGTCTTCAATTCAAATTATTACTATAACGTAGATAAAAACTATTTCACAACTAAAATAATTTAGTTCTATACGCCCTCTGATGCCTTTCGCGCCTTGCGTGCTAATTTTTGCGCTTTACAGCTCGATTTCGTATGTATTCAGCTCCATGCTAAATACGAACCAAAATCGAATCGTACATATTCAGGCAGGCTCCGTTTTTCATTTACTTTTGCGGATTACGTTTTCAGCCAAAACGTTTCGTTTTCGTTTTAAGGTGTTCCATTTTTCACATATTTTTTTTATCGATATGTTACATTTTGAAGTCCGAATTAAATTGGGCGGGAAACAGCTGTGCTCACCCAGATGTTCTGTTAAGCGCATGTTACAGGCACAGTCTGAGCTGTTACATGCACATTTGTGCTGTTATACGCAAAAATTTATTAATTGCCAATGTTCCGATAACCAAATCGGAATGCGTCAGCTGCTTACACCAAATCGAAATTTGTTGTTGCTGTGGCCAGTTTATATTCATATGTACAACCCTATACCTACCCTCAGCTAAAGTTGGACAAGGAAGAAAAGCCAATAAAAAGTACATAAGTTAATTGGCGCAATTGTGCGTTTCTGTACTCCGTTTAATTTTTTTGCAGGACAATGGAGAAAATATGCAGAGTTTGCATGGGAAATTCTGGACCATTCGCAAGTATTTTGGATGAGACACAAAAATCGGAGTGCGCAGGATACGTGGTTAGGCAAGGCGATTCACTAACAGAAAATATATGTTCGCCTTGCCTAGAGGCTACAGTGAATGCATTCAATCTTAAGGAAACTTGTGAGCAGAGCCATGAACGCAGTTTTCCAGTGGTGCAGGAGAATAAAGAAGACTTTTCCGATAGTCAGAAAGATGAGGACTGGGAACCGTCAGATAGTGAAAGTGACCAGAGTGAGAAACATTTTCAAACCGATCAAGATGGTAGCGATAACACTGATAAAAGTGATAACGCTGATAAAATTGATAGCACTGATAATACGGATCAAATTGATAACACTGATAAAATTGATAGACCACATAAATGTTCTCACTGCTCGAAGTCATTTAAAGACGCATCCTATCTCAAAGTTCACATGCGAACTCACACGGGCGAGCGACCGTATAAGTGTTCTCATTGCTCGAAGTCTTTCTCTCACTCCGGAACTCTTCGGCTTCACATCCGTACGCACACGGGAGAACAACCCTACAAATGCATATTCTGCTCAAAGAAATTTCGACTAAAATCCAATCTTCAAACTCACACCCGTATGCACACAGGGGATCGACCCTTCAAATGTTCCCACTGCTCGAAGTCTTTTGCACAAAAATATAATCTTGATAGACACACCCGTACACACACGGGTGATCGACCCTTCAAATGTTCCCAATGCCCGATGTCATTTACACAAAAATTCGAACTTAAGATACACATCCGTAGTCATACGGGAGAACGACCTTATAAGTGTTCCCACTGCCCTAAGTCCTTTGCCCGATCCGATTGCCTCCGAATTCATTTGCGCTTGCACAAGGATGAACGAACCTACAAATGTAGTTACTGCTCGGAGTCATTTCAAGAAAAATCCGACCTCCAAAGACACAGCCATACTCACAGCTGGGAACGGCCGTATAAATGTTCTTCCTGCTCAAAAACTTTCGTACATAAGTCTAAACTTGATAGACACACCCTTTCTCACACAGGTGAACGACCCTACCAATGCACTCAGTGTTCGAAGTCATTTCCAGAAAAATCTAACCTAGAGATACACAACCGCACTCACACGGGCGAGCGACCGTACAAGTGTACCCACTGCTCCAAGTCTTTTCTTCACGCTGGAACTCTCCGCAATCACATCCGTACGCACACTGGGGAACGACCCTACAAATGCCCTGAGTGCTCGATGTTATTCACACAGAATTCCGAACTTAAACAACACAGTCGAACTCACACGGGGGAGCGACCGTACGAGTGTTCTTACTGTCCGATGTCGTTTAAACAACTCGCCCATCTTCAAATACACACCCACACCCACACAGGTGAGCGGCCCTTTAAATGCTCTCGTTGCCCGAAGTCGTTTCCAGAAAAATGCACTCTCAATGTGCACATCCGGACTCACACAGGGGAACGACCGTACAAGTGTACCCGCTGCTCTAGTTCTTATGCTCACGCCACTTCTCTTCGAGATCATATACTTTGGCACACGGATGAACGACCATTCGAATGCCCTGAATGTCCAATGGCTTTTATACAAAAATACAAACTTGATAGACACATCCTTACTCACACAGGAGAACGACCCTTCCAGTGCTCTCACTGTTTGAAGTCATTTAATCAAAATTCCCATCTCAAAATACACTTCCGAACTCATAGAGAATATTCACCCTAAGTCTACTTTAAATAACTAATTTAAATACAAAACCCAAACCTACCAAAGACATACACTAACTCTCACAACCAATGACTTGTGTCCCATTCCGGTACTATCTGGTATCTCACAATCTCGTAAGCACCCTGAGGATTGCTTGCATGCGAAGCTAGGAAAAACAGATAAGGTCTGATTGCTCCAGACAAAGGACACCTTTCGGCCCACTAGTTAAGTCTGTGAATGTGTCCTTTGCCTCAAGCAGGTTATAGATCTGCATGCAAATAAATTCCTATGAAATCCTTTTTTTTTGTCTTTGACAAATCAAAATTAAAATGAAATTTAAAATTGTTCACCAACTTAAAAAGAAAATAATTAATAAATATTTGTTTATTTCTTCATGGATTGGCAAAGGGTATTTAAATTAAGAATATGGGATATATAAAATTTACTTGGATAAATTCAATTGGATCTATTTATTAAGATTTTAAATTATAAAATAAAAACTTTATTATGACATTTAATTTCTTTTTTAAAAAGGAGACTTCTGATATTTGGCACGTATGGTTCTGCTCATTTATCTCTTGAGAGGTGAGAAAATCGAACATAATGAATATTTTACAATTGGAATTTGTGATTGTTTTTATACCCGATACTCAAAATGAGTATTGGGGTATATTAGATTTGTGGTAAAAGTGGATGTGTGTAACGTCCAGAAGGAATCGTTTCCGACCCCATAAAGTATATATATTCTTGATCAGCATCAATAGCCGAGTCGATTGAGCCATGTCTTTCTGTCCGTCTGTCCGTCTGTCCGTCCGTCCGTCTGTCCGTCTGTCCGTCAGTCCGTCTGTCCGTCCCCTTCAGCGCCTAATGCTCAAAGACTATAAGAGCTAGAGCAACGATGTTTTGGATCCAGACTTCTGTGATATGTCACTGCTACAAAAATATTTCAAAACTTTGCCACTTTTGGTATCCACACGCCTAATATATCAGACCGAGACGAGTTTGTTTCAAAATTTCGCCACACCCCCTTCCGCCCCCGCAAAGGATGCAAATCTGGGGATATTCACAAATCTCAAAGACTATTAACGCTAGAGTAACCAAATTTGGAATCCGCACTTCTCTTAGATCTCACTATAAAACGTGTATCTCAAAATTTCGCCCCACCCCCTTCCGCCCACACAAAGGACGAAAATCTGTTGCATCCACAATATTGCAGATTCGAGAAAACTAAAAACGGGGAATCATAGATAACGACCATATCTATCAGATTGCTGAATCTGGATCAGATCAGATAATTTTTGTAGCCAAAAGGAACAAATCAATTTGCAGTGGCTACGCAGCGCGTGACATCACGCTCAGACTGATTTTCTGTCTCTCTCGCACGCACTCTTTGTCGTGTCGTTTAATATTAGCGGCGTCTGCCGGAGGAAAGCCATACTGACTTAGTATCGGGTATAACTGTAGAGTTGCGGTGTCCGCAGCAACTCACAACGTTCCCCCTCGTTTATAATATTTTATTGGAATTAACATTTTAAGCCGACCTCTGATCTACATACATACATAATTTATTTAAGTCATAGAAGTCATGCTTAGCCGTTTCGACGTCAGTTTTAAAATCGATCTACTTGCCAGTCCTTACACTGCAACAACAAACAGTAACACAAAACGGCAAAGGAAATAGTCGATTGGGATTAGGTGTCATCGTTTTGACGAATAATTACGGTCCAGGGTTGGAGCAGTAGGAGCAATAGGATCTTCCATTCTCAACGTTCTTACGGATGTGATCTCGAAGAATGACGGAATGGCACAGTTGTCGTTGCTTTTGTGAGTTAGTATGTGTCTTTGGTAGCTACTGTTTCTGTATCTAAAAGTCTTTGAGCAGTGGATGCACTTGTGAGAACGGAGGTGTACCTGGAGATTCGACTTTTCCTGAAATGACTTCGAGCACTGAGTGCATTGGTAGGGTCGTTCCCCTGTGTGAGTAAAAGTGTGTCTATCAAGCTTTGATTTTTGTTTAAAAGACTTTGAGCAGTAAGAGCATCTATGCGGCCGTTCGCCAGTGTGAATACGGCTGTGTTCTCGGAGATGAAATTTTTGTTGAAATGACTGCGAGCAGTGAGAGCATTTGTATGGTCGTTTATCCGTGTGCAACCGGAGGATATGAATCCGTAGACTATCGGAACGGGAAAATGACTTAGAGCAGTGAGGACACATATGCGGCAGTTCCATGGCGTGCGTACAGTTGTGTACATGGAGATGGGATTTTTGTGGAAATGACTTCGAACAGTGGGAGCACTGGTAGGGTCGATCACCTGTGTGAGTACGAGTGTGTTTTTCAAGATTGCATTTTTGTATGAAGGACTTTGAGCAATGAGGGCACTGGTATGAAAGATCATTAGTGTGTGAACGAGTGTGTCTGTCAAGATTGTATTTCTGTGCAAACGACATCGAGCAGTAGGAACATTGGTAGGGTCGATCACCTGTGTGCGTACGGGTGTGTGATTGAAGATGGGCTTTTTGGTGAAAGGATTTTGTGCAGTCGGAGCATTTGAAGGGTCGTACAAATTGATCAATGTTATTGCTATCATTTTGATTCATCTCTTCATCGTTTTCAAAATGTTTCGACTGCTCACTTTCAATCTAGAGTATCGGCAAATTCTTCTATATCCTCCACCATCACTGGGAAATAGAGTTTATTAATTGGACGTTGACATGCAATGACTGCATCTAACAAGAGGCGATGCAATTACTGCACCGTCAAGTGGCCCGTGTGACACCAGCAGAAGGCTGTTACGCGCGGATCCCAGGCAAAACGCAGCCCTCCTCCCGCCCAACCGACCGAGGGGCGCTGCCGCATGACGCGCGGTGCGTAGCCGAACCAAACGCGAGCATGCAAGAAAGATAGATATTAGACTAACCTTCGAGGAAAATTAGCACTAAACTTATTAAGAAATTAAGCATGCAATAAAATACAAAATACAAATACCACTACAATTACTAATTTCTAGAAAGGTGTGTAAGGATTAGTAATTTAATAAGAGGAAGAGAATTAGTGGAGGATATAATATGGTAGAGGGAATTATAATCCGAGCATAAGACCCTAAACGGTTCATGCAAGGAATAATTCGATCTACAAAGTGGAAGGAACAACGGTATAAAGTTTCTAGTCAGTCTAATAGGAATCGTGAAGTTTATGCGGCTCAACAGATCAGGGCTGTCTATGTCACCCCTGATCAAGTTGTGCATAAATATCACACCAAGCATTTTTCTACGGTTAACTAAGGATGGGAGGTTTACTAATAATAGTCTACTAGAGTAAGATGGGAGTCTTACACCCGCATCCCAGTAAAGGCCCCGCAGAGCAAAGAGTAAAAAGTTTTTCTGTACTGATTCTATACGGTCCTGGTGTACTTTGTACTGAGGGCACCATACACAGGAGCCGTATTCTAAGATCGGACGAACAAGCGAGGTATAGAGAGTCTTTGTTATATAGGGGTCGTCAAATTCCTTTGACCACCTCTTTATAAACCCAAGCACGCCCATGGCCTTATTTACCATGGTAGAAATGTGTTCGGAAAACTTTAACTTGGGATCTAACATAACACCCAGATCATCCACTAGGGTAATTCTCTCAAGAGAACCCCCAAATAGGGTGTAGGGAGCCAACAAAGGGTTAGAACGATGAAATGTCATAACTTTGCATTTCGAGGCATTAAGGTGTAACAAGTTTGCACAACACCATGACTGAAAGCTATTGAGATCGGATTGCAAGCGAGAATGAAATGAAATGTCCTTGTACTGGACACAGAGTTTAACATCATCCGCATACATAAGTACTCGAGAGTATGTTATTACTGAAGGCAAGTCATTAATAAAGAGTGTGAAGAGTAAGGGGCCTAGATGGCTGCCCTGTGGTACTCCCGAAGAAACCTTTACTGGTAAAGAGAGGGAGTTTTTGAAGAGGACTCTTTGAGACCTAGAACAAAGATAGCTAGAAATCCATCTCAGGAGGTTGGGCGGAAACCCTAAAAGGTCAAGTTTATGTGCTAAAAGGGAATGGTTTACAGAGTCGAATGCTTTACTAAAGTCGGTGTAAATAACATCCGTCTGTAAGTTACCTTGAAAGCCTTTAATAATGAAAGAGGTAAACTCTAACAAGTTCGTGGTGGTTGATCGCCGCCTTATAAATCCATGCTGAGTTGGAGATATAAGTGACTTGCAGAGATGTTGCAAGTGCGGAGTTAAAACCTTCTCAAACAATTTGGGAATAGCGGATAACTTTGCTATACCTCTATAATTTTTTGCTTCAGACTTGCTACCTTTTTTATGGAGAGGAATTATAAACGATTCCTTCCAGATTGGGGGGAAGCAAGAGGAATCAATGGACAGGGTGAATAGTTTAAGCAATGGTCCACACAGAGCCTCGGCGCAGTACCTGAGTACACAACCTGGAACCCCGTCTGGACCCGGTGAAAACACCGGCTTAACTAGTCGAAGATCTTGAAGTAGGGAATATTCATTTAACAAGGGACTGAAAATGCCGTTCGACCTCGGTAATCCG